TAAGCAGTACTTTGCTTATCCTGGGTCTCTTTCCTTTCCATATAAAGTTTGTAATTGTTTTTTCCATCTCTTTGAAGAATGTTGTTGGAATCTGGATCAGCCTTTATTTTTAAATACAAAGATATATTATTAAACAAATTCTATTAATTGTATATTTCAAAGGAAAATAAGCATGATTTATTTATTAAATATGTGTTACATTCAGTAAATCCTATATCAAGGGTCCTGAGGTACAATACAGAAAATACTTGATAAAATATGACAGATTTTATAGGAAACTTTGGTTTTAATTATTGTTTAAAAGCTTATACTTTACTGTAGTATTTCTCAAAGTATGATCTAGGGATCCCTGAGATGTTTTCAAGGCCTCTCAGAGGATCCTTAGTCCAAGATTTTGCTCATTATTTTGCTACTAGAAAACCCACAGACAGGATTTTCTTCCAGACTATGCAGTCCACATTTTTCATGGTGCTACAAAGAATGGCAAATATGAGTGCAACCTGAATCCCAACACAAGGCTCCCAATGATGTATATTGATGACTGTCTCAGAGCCACCCTGGAAGTCATGGAGGCCCCAGCAAAGTCTCTGTCCATGAGGACCTACAACATCAATGCCATGAGTTTCACTCCCAAGGAGCTGGCCCAAGAGATTCTCAAACATGTTCCAGAATTCCAGATTACATACAACGTGGATTCTGTCCGACAGGCCATAGGTTGGTACATCATTGCAAATTGCCTCAAAACCCAAGTTAAGCTTTTACTGTGAGTCCCATGGACTTAATAAATGATAAGTAGAAGACAGCTTCTTCTCCTTCAGAATGTATTAGGTAGGGCCTGTGGGGAAGTTTGGGTAAGCGAGAGACACCCACCCTTACCTGAAATGAGACAAAACCAGAAGATGCTCTGATTTGGGAAAATTATATCTGAAGTGGGTGAAATGGTTTCATTCCCAATAAACAGTTTGCCAACATTTCACCAACATTATAGCTTAAGCATAAAACAAAGAGAAATAGAAGCAATTGGGATAATATAAGAATAGTTTGGGGCTTGGAAATACTGTGACTCTGGCACTTTATGACCTTGAGCAACTTTCTGAGTCTGTGTTCTAACATTAAAATATGAACCCTGCCTCAAATCAAGAGATTTTAATAATATGTGAAAATTACGTCTGGCAGTAGTTACGTAATATCTTTTTTATTTTTTTCAAATCTAAGAAGATCACTAAATGTACATAAAACTGTACTGCTCTGGTCTACTCAAAGAGAAAATGTCTCTTCTCTCTTCGTACTTTGTACAAGAAACATTTATATTTATATAAAATGTTCTTACCCTTTTTGTAAATCTAGAGCCCAACTAACTTAAGCTTGAAGTTGTTTGTTGCCATCGTGTCAATTTGAACTTCTGTTGACCCCATGAGTACAGAATAGAATTGTTCCATAGAGTTTTCAAGGCTGTATGTAACCGTTCAGAAGCATATCACCAAGCTTGTCCTCCAACGTACTTGTGGGTAGATTTAGATCACCGACCTTTAGGCTAGTGGTTTATGCTACACAGGGAGCCTGCTAACTTAAACTATTCTTTCATATCTTTTCCTAGCGGACAGTTGGCCAATGAACTTTGATGACAGCAATGCTCGGAAGGATTGGGGGTGGAAACATGATTTTGATCTTCCAGAATTGGTGACTACGATGTTGAACTTCCTTGGTTCTGACACCAGGGTTGCCCAAGCTAACTGAAGATATCAAAAGAGCGCCTGTACCCTTGACAACTGCCAGGGGAAAACTATAAAGTTAATTATATCACAAACTCCAAGGAACTAAAGTTATTTGGATTTGAAGGACTACCTGGACTAAACCTTGGCAGCTCATAGTGAACTGCTAAATTGAGAATAAAGTTGGTGTTAAGCATTTTAGAAATGCTTTAGTCTTGGTGGTAGGGCTTTGAAATTTTTGCTGATTGCCTGTAATTGCCCAACTATGCATATAACAGGATGAAGGCAATAGTTTCCATTTTCTTAATTAAGATGAAGTTACCATTTAAGGGAAAGTTAAAGTATGTGAAATTTGTATATAACTATGAAGACTCTTTTATTTTTTGGCTAAAGACCAAACATTACATTTGAAAAACTTTCAAAGATAATCTAGTTTAAACATATTCTTTACTATTCCATCAGAACATAAAAAATGCTTGATTTATTAACTCCATGTTTATAATGTTCAAAAGAGTTCAGTACTTCTTACTTCAAGAATGATCACTTCTTACTTATTTTTCTGTATGGGAATCTGCAGGAAATTGACATTATCAAAAAAAATCTAACTAGTACAGGGTAAGGCTGTGTATTTTTATTGCTTTCCTTTAAATGAGATAAATGTTAACTCCACACCGCTACCACCAGTTGCTGACACCCCATGTGTGCCAGAGTACAACTGTGTTCCATATGGTTTTCAATAGGTCACTATGACTGCCTTCCAAGGCATTTCTGGGTAAACTGTAGCCTTCAACTTTTCCATTAGCAGCTACACATGTTAACTGTTTGCACTACTCAGGGGTTACTAAGTGCTAGCTACCAAGAGTGTAATTCCGTTCGCAGGGTTTCTGGGCTCCACCTCTTCAAATTGACTCAATAAATAGGGGATGGGAATCTCTTAAGTGCTACAGGTAATTCTAATCTAGCTAGAATTTACTTTAGACCAATTTCAAACACTGTTTTCTGAAGAGTACTTTCTTGTTATAGCCTTTTAATTACTCTTAATTGAACCTTCTAAAGAGCTACTCTACACTCTGATGTAATTACTGTCTAAATCTATGGAGATTGGCTTTTTCCAGCTACCTCAGTATGTATACATGTGAAATCACTAGAAAGTGAATTTTCTAATTTTATCGATTGATCATAGCTATATTTGCATCTATTATAAAACATATCACATTCTTAATGAAAACAAATGGTATATTTTGGGAATTTTTAACTGTTAAGTACAAATATGATATTTTTTGAAGACATAGCTGGATTTAAAATCTATTATAGAACTTTTAGATAATTGAGTTTTTGTCTGATAGTTACATTAATAGTTACATTAATATAAGTACACATAATATACTTAATATATCAAACTAGTAATGAGGTATATACAAATATATAGCTTTACTGGATATAGTTCATATAACAAATTTTATCCATTTACAACTGATTACAAGGAAGAAAATGAAAAACATTTTGAAGTTTCATGGAATCTAGATATTCTGGAGCCATAGAGGCTGATGAAACACTGAAACTATTGCCCTGAGGTATTCTTTAAACTTTGAACTTTAAACTGAAAATACTCATTGACATCTTCTTGAAACAAGTAGTAGTTTAGCTTAACTAGTAAAGACTATATGCCTAGACTATATGCCTTAAGCATTGTGCCCTTTTAAGAACTATATGGTATCAAAGCAACTTGAAAGATTAGATAGGAAACTTTTGGGGTAGTGAATTTATGTTAATGGGGGAGGAACAACTCAAAAGGTGGATGAGAATGTTTGCACAACTTGGAGAATGTCATTAGTGCCATTAAATTGTATGGGTAGAAATTTTTGGATTGGTATATATTCTTAACAAAAAATAAAACCATAAAAAAATCATCTCTACACTTATAATATTTAGTTCAATGTAAATAGCACTTTATACTTCTTAACCTTTGAGGGGTTTCTTTGACCACTTAATTGCTTGCCCCTTCCCAGATGTTCCTCACAAAAATATGATATAGAACATTGCCGTTGTGGACTATGGAACCTCCCCTACTAACAACACTGAAATATGGTCCTGAGCTCCAGGCCCAGCAACTCATTCACTTGATGTGTTTGGAAGTGTCTAAGATGTTTCCATAAATGTATCCTCTGTATGTTCCACCATCTGCCACTCGTCTGTCAATTTGTCATCCTGTGGTGGCTTGCATGTTGTTGAGATGTGGAAGCTATGCCACAGGTACTTTAAATGCCAGCAGGGTCATCCATGGTGGACAGGTTTTAGCTGAGCTTCCAGACTAAGATAGACTAAGAAGAAGGCGAGACAGGCAACTTCTGAATGTTTACACACTAAATACCTTATGAATAGCAGCAGAACATTGTCAGATATCATGCTAGAAAATGAAAAGATAAATTATGAAATACACCAGAGTATTTTCAGATTTAATGCCGGAATATGTACCTCTCAGGTTGGAAGGCACTTAAAACAGGATTAGGCAATGATATCCATGTCCTCTTCTTAATCCAGCGTCAGTTTCTTGTTCCCTGTCAACGCACCATTGCAGCCATTTTTTAAATTATTTTCAACAAAAATTTACTTGTGTGTGATATTATATACCTAAAAATGTAACAATGAACAAATAGGGACAAACTTAGGTCCTCTGATCCATGGCGTAAATATACTGTCAACATAACTGAAAACACAAAACAAGACAAAATACGTAACTGGGATCGCCTAAAAATTAGACACTTGTGTGCATCAATAAGGTTCCACCATATGAGAAAGATTGTTTTATCAGGGTTGAAGGGAGTCTCATTAGCAATTTATGGAGCAACCTCTCTTACTGAAGCCATGAAGACTTGAAGACCAAAGACAATAGTCAACCAACAGCTGGAAAATGGATGCTTACAGTTTTCTGGGATCCTCAAGAGCCAGTATTGGAACACTATCAGGAAAAGGGTTCAACAATGAACAGTACTCTACATTGAGATGCTCATTTAAGAGGTGAAGGCTAAACTTTGGATTAAATATGTTGTTGTTGTTAAGTGCCATCGAGTTGGGTCCGACCCATAGTGACCCTGTACAGGGTTTCCGAGGGTGTAAATCTTTACGGGAGTAGAAAGCCTCATCTTTCTCCCGCGGAGCGGCTGGTAGTTTCGAACTGCTGACCTTAAGTTTCACAGCCCGATTCATAACCACTACGTTGGATTAAATATAGAGGACTGCTATTCAAGGGCATTGTGATCTTGCCTGAAGAAGTAATTCCACACACCTCTGCCCACACTGTTGACACTGCAAAACATTGTTTTTAGGTGTTAATGCACCCTTCCTATAGTTCTGATCTTGCTCCATCAGACTTTCACCTGTTTGGTCCTCTGAAAGCAGTCTGAGGACAAAGATTCACCTCTGATGAAGAAGTGAAAGCAGTGGTGTATTTGTGGTTCACAGCTCAGCCTTCTTGTTGTTGGGTGCCATTGAGTCGGTACTGACTCATAGCAACCCTATGCACAGCAGAATGAAACACTGCCCTGCACTGGGCCAACCTCACAATTGTTGCCATGCTCGAGCCCATTGATGCTGCCATTTTGCCAATTCGTCTCGCTGAGGGTCTTGCTCTTTTTTCTGACCCTCCACCTTACCAAACATGATATCCTTCTCCAGCAACTGGTCCTTCCTGACAATATAATATGTCTGAAGTATGAGAGACGAAATTTGTCCATCCTGGCCTCCAAGGAGCACTCTGGCTGTACTTCTTCCAACACAGATCTGTTGGTTCTTTTGGCAGCCCATGGCACTTTCAGTATTTTCCTCCAACACTGTAACTCAAAAGCATCAATTCTTCTATGGTCTTCTTTATTCACTGTCCAGCTTTTGCATGCATATGAGGTTTTTGAAAATACCATGGCTTGGTTCAGGCATACCTTAGTTCTCAAGCTGATATATTTGCTCTTCAAAACTTTAAAAAGGACTTGTGCAGCAGATTTGCCTAATGCAATATGTGGTCTAATATCTTGACTGATGCTTCCGTGAGTGTTGATTTTTTTAAAAAGCGAGTAGAGGAGGTATATGCCCTGAGTTTTATGGTGATTGGAGGGTTTTGAGTCCGCTACCAGATGGCCTCCTCCGTGAGGTCTCCCCCTTTGTCCTTGGAGCTCTCCTTACCCGTGTCATCTTGCCTCAGTGGGTACCGGAAGTCCCTCTCAACTCTTCTTGTCTTTGGTCATTAGTGTCTATGGCATCAAATATGTTCTTATGATCATCTCTAAATTCAGGTGAGATATACTCAAGTTCTTAGTTTAGCTGTTATAATTTCCTTCGGCTTCAGCCTGAACTTACATATGAGCACTTAATGGTCTGTTCCACAGTCTTCTCCTGGCCTTGTTTTGGCTGATGATATTGAGCTTCTCCCATAGATGTAGTCTGTTTGATACCTGTGTATTTCATTTGGAGAGGTTCAGATATATAGTTACCTTTTACATTGCTTAAAAAGGTATTTGCAATGAATTAGAATTGCAAAATTCTATCATGTGATCTCCAGCATTGTTTATTTCAAGATAGACATATTTTCAAATTACAGATTCTTCATTGTTTCCAAGTTTTGCATTCCAATTATTAATAATTATTGATGCATATGGATTGTATGTTTGATCAATTTCAGACTGCAGAAGTTGGTAGAATTCTTCAGTTTCATTATCATTTGCTTTTGTGGTTGGTGTGTAAATCTGAATAATAGTTATATTAACTGGTCTTCCTGTTATGGATATAGCTATTATCCTATCACAGACAGCATTGTACTTCATGGTAGATCCTGAAATATTCTTGTAATAACTTGGGTTCTGTGTCAACTTGACTAGGCCAGGATTTCCAGAGGTTTAGCAATTGAGATGTGTTTATTTCCATAGTGATGAAACAATACAGGCATAGTTAATTTTATGAAAAGTGGCTTTGAGAAGCCAATCAATTTAAGGGATGCTTTCTTGGGAGTGTGGCCTACTCCCAAAATAATGGACA